CGCAGAGAGAAACCAACTTAAAAAGAACTCTAGGCCAGAAAGTACTTAAACTCCCACTCTTACTCCACACTACGAGCGGTATAGAAGCTACTCTAGCTTTATTACTAGCACGAAGATAGGAACAAGAAAGTGGCATGTAGGCCAAGAAGGCTAGAAAGAAGAAAAATAAGAAAAATAAGAAGAAAAGAAGAAAAACAAAGAACAACGAATTTGATTTTACTAGCACTATTTCCTATCCCCTAAGAGAGCTCGCTAGAAGGCAGCCTAGCTGCTCTATATCTCTCCCTGTTACCAAACTGCTCTTTAGCACCAGGCGTCTAGAAAGCTAGTACTAGCTTAACTAGACAAAGGCCGAAGCACCATAGTCACGCAATACAGCACAACGTACCAAATTGTAACTAGTTAGATAGAACGGCCTTTGGCCAAAGTCCTACATAGCCAACGGCTGATACAGGACTATAATGGAATAATAATAATAATAATAATGAGTCTACTATTCGAAGTATATATGCTAAAGCTATTAAGAGAGGATTTAAATACAACGCCTCACAACCTATTACTATCTGTAACGCTTAACTTAAAGATGCTCCTCGCTTAGGACACCCTACTAAAGAAACTAAGGCTGTACGTTAATCTATTACCCAGAAACTCGTACGCAATCGATATGGAAGAGAGAAGAGCTGTGCTAATCTCGCTAGCGAACTTAGTTAAGAGGGAGTTAATATCTCTGCTACAACAGTGCGCCGGATACTTAAGAAGGCAGGCTACAAGAAGACGAAGCCGACGAGGAAGCCTGGGTTGACTAAGAAGATGAGGGAGGAGAGACTAGCCTAGTGTAAGGAGCGAGAGAAGTGGACTCTTGAGGATTGGAAGAATGTTATATAGACAGATAAGACCTCTATAGTCCTTAATCACCGCCGTGGAGGCTATTAGATCTGGAGGAAATCTAATAAAGCTTTTCTGCGTAGTACTATACGTAAGAGATGGAAAGGCTACTCTAAGTTCATATTCTGGGGGAGCTTCTCATATAACAAGAAAGGTCCTTACTACTGTTGGCAACCTGAATTAAGAAAGCAGAAGAAAGAAGCTTGTAAGGCTATTAAGGCTCTTAACTAAGAGCTTAAAGCTGAGGCTAGAGCTAAGTAGGAACTAAATACTAGAGTTAGAAGGCTAGGCCTACGTACGAAGCCTAGCAAGAAGCTAACTTAGAAATTTACTGTAGATACAGGTAAGCTTACTCGTAGTAAAGGAAATAGTATTAATTAGTAGAGATATCGCGCTGAAATATTAATACCTAAGCTTCTGCCTTTTACTTAAGAGTGTAAGAAAGAGAGGCTATATACTCTCGTTTAAGAAGATAAAGCTCCTTCTTATGCGCATTACTCACAACAGAAGGTCTTTAATATATTTAAGGTAGCTAGGCTACTCTAGTGCGGTAATTCACCTGATCTTAATGTAATAGAGTGCTGCTGGCCATATATAAAGAGGCTTACTATAAAAAAGGGAGCTCTAAAGAGTAAGGTTGAAGCTATCAGAGCCTGGACGAAAGCTTAGGACGAGCTACCTCAGTGGAAGATTTAAGAGTAGATTAAAAGAATACTAATTCATATTCAAAATATCATTAGATTAGAAGGTGGTAATGAATATAAAGAGGGTAGGAGAATAGGAAAGGGCACTGAGAGGGAGGCTACAGCTGTAAAGGCTATCAAAATTAATGTAGATAATGAGTGGGAGGATATCAGTGAATAAGCTGTCAAAACAGCAAATGCCAAGACCTGCGGTGCGTCAGTGCGCTGCCTACCCCTGTCGCGAAGACTTTTGACGCGCTCCTCCGTACAGGTCAGCCCTAATAGCGCCGACGTGCCAAGACTGCTTGAGTCGCTTCAAGCAAAAGCTTAATCCAGCTAGGACTGCTTTAAGAAAGTCTTTGAGGCTTTAAGCTTTCATTTATGCTCTTCGCAATCTCACACAACGTTACCGTAAATGGATTAGTTGTATGGTTAGCACTACAATTGTTTCTCTAAGTTTAGGGGTTTCCTAGACACTACCTTGTATCGATACTCGTATTGTCAAGGTAGGCTCGCTTCTCGCCTGACCATCTATCAATTCACCCTACTCATGTCCACTGTCGTGTACGTCAAAGCTGTCATGATTGTCATGACATGGTTGTTTGTCACAGACGCCGTCATTGCAGAGTAGGTCTGTCGAGGCACGTCAGTATACTGTTCAAACACATCATCTAGACTCTATCGACCGGGGCTGCTAACCTCTCCATGCGAATATATAAATTCAACGCTGACCCTCTTCGATAAATCATCATCACACATCACTCACTCTCACATCTCCTCTCATCTTCTCTCATCTCAATCAGTCTCGACGACTACTCTTCTTTACACAGTTAGCTGGAACTACTCTCAATCTTGATTCCTATCAAACTTCATCCACAAAAATGAAGTACTCAATCATCTTTGCTATCGGCTCCGCAGCGCTGGCTGTAGCGGCTCCCGTCACTGTTGACATCACCAGCCGTGATACCACTGTCGTTACTGGCGGCACTGGCATCGGATTCGAAGGCAGTGGTCGCGGCGGTAGCGTTGCTAATGGTGGCGATGGCGGCAACACCCGTAAGGGAAATGGTGGTAACGGAGGTGCCGGCGGTATCGCCAAACGCGAGACTACTGTCGTTACTGGCGGCACTGGAATTGGATTCGACGGCCGTGGTCGTGGCGGCAGCGTTGCCAATGGTGGCGATGGTGGTAACACTCGTAAGGGCAATGGCGGCAATGGGGGTGCTGGTGGTATCGGACGACGATCGACAATTGTTACCGGTGGAACTGGCATCAGGTTTGAGGGTAGCGGTCGCGGCGGCAGCGTTGCCAATGGTGGCAACGGTGGCAACAGCCGCAAAGGTGATGGCGGTAACGGTGGTGCTGGTGGTATCGGACGACGATCGACAATTGTTACCGGTGGAACTGGCATCGGGTTCGAGGGCAGCGGCCGCGGCGGCAGCGTTGCCAATGGTGGCAACGGTGGTAACAGCCGCAAAGGTGATGGCGGTAACGGCGGTGCCGGAGGGTACGTATCTCCCTCACTATAACCTGATTACAACTAACACAAAGACAGAATCGCTGGACGCTCTGATTCTATCTTCTCCCTAGTAGCCCGCAAGTTCAGCCTCATCAGCGGTGGACCTGCTATCTCTTTTGGCGGCAACTCTCGCGGCGGCGATGTCGGTGATGCTGGTAACGGCGGTAACGGTGGCAGAAACGGTGGCTCAGGTGGTGGCTCTGTCATCAACACCAAGAACTAAAACATTAAATACTTAGCTTAGATTGCTGCTAACATCCCTTTGGAGTATGATTGGTTTTATGTGGCTTTAGTGTACATAGAAGTATCAGTTATTTAGCTTGGAACGCGTAGCATTCTTGGCGTCCATTCAATATTCAAATTACGAGTTTTCATCACTGATTCAGTCCAAGCTTAGTTATAGAGATCCTTTGCTTCAACTTCTTCAACAGGGTGGATACTTAGATCTGGAACATAAAGATTATATTTGCTTCGATAACATATTGAAAGACGCTCTTCCTATCAAGCTTACGAACTCCTAGAAATATCAATGCCTACAGATCTATAGATGCGGATCCCTACATATTCATGTATTCATTAGTATTCAAGGAGTCAATGAATTTGCTCACCAATCTCCAGGTAACATTCATTCGGCAAATGTTCGAATAGCGAAACCAAAAATATTTATGGTAGCTAGTTATCTCAGCATTAACGAGAATGGACGAAGGATATGTATAAAGAGGCTCAAGCACCAGTAGTTCAGATACTTCATTGCCTCAATCTTTAACACCGCACCAGGAATTACTTCACTTCCAACCATACACTATCGACAGTTACTCCATTGCAAGCTTATCTTCATTATGTAATTCATCAAACACTTTATCACCGTCGCTATGGCAGTCCCTATAGTCAGCCACGCCGCTCCTACAACCCCAAACGAGCCCAAGCATCTTATTGCTCGTCAATGTTTCGCTCTTGGTGGTAAGAATAAGTCATAGCGGATGAGTAGAACAGGGCGCTAATATGTTATAGCAAGGTGTGACATCCTACGAGTCGGGGGTCCTGAAATTGGTTTTTGTGGCAACCTTAGCTGCAGCGGCGGCACCTGCATGGGCACCATAGATACACATAACTCGCCTACGTCATCGAATGATGGATATACTAAGGTTGATCAATATGTAAGTCTGCACTTGTTCTTACTCTGAGATACGAAAGTATTTAGATAAGGCAAGATGAAGCCAACGAGGATATGGCGTAAAGTAAAACAGAGTGCGGTGATAGAGCGCTGGGTAGTTAAGGGTTGATGATCAATTGTCAGTTGTATGTAGTTTTCTTCTAAGAGTCTAAGCTCGGCCGATAGAAACAAGACAATATGATCCTTACTATACGACTTCTTGTATAACAAAGAAAAACTAGGAAAGCCTGTTCTATACAATTAACAAAAAGAATTTGCTCCCTAGCGAGGTGCAAAGGATTGAAGACCAACCGACGTCCACGTCAGAAGGTAGTGATCAACGGGGGACGCAGGGCGGGATGGCGCAGTGATAAAAGCGTTCGGAATTTCTCTATCCCCAAACATCGAAGCTCATTTATACAAATGTCCATCTACTGGAGACTCAACTGGAAGGCTCGTAAAGCAACAATGTCCGAACTCTTCTCCGCCTCCATCCATCTCACCAAAATGCGTGACAGCACCCCATTGTATCGGAAGCTGGCTTGCATAGATGTCTCCAGAGGGTGGATGACAAGCTGCGCTGATAGCCGCAGAATTGCTGCCCACTAATGGCATGCCAGATGGGAGAGTAAAATTTCCGCTAATTATACCTCCTCCTGCAATAATGCTCACAACTACGAAAGTGGCGATGATTGCGACTAGCGGGTAGCCGCAAGTGGAAATCTCCCAGAATACTTGTCATGTCCACTGATCGGTGTAGTCGATTTGTACTTTAAACAAACTTTGCGAGGCTAACCAGTGGAAAAGACCAGATAGTACAGTCACTGGCACCGCGTACCGAAATGGTATACCAAGCCAATAGGTAGAACGTTGTTGGCCGGTTGGTGATGTGACTCGGAGTGGCTTGCGTTCAACACTGTAGCTTGCCCACTCAGCCACAACAAACATCTTCGAATAAAGAGCATTAAAGGCGAGATATATGTACGATAGCAAAACCTGCGGCGTGTTCGAGAAAAAGACACCACCTAGAAGTGATAATAGCATGTTGAGGAGATTGTTGCCTTGGATGTCGCCCATACCTGTTTGCCAGAGTTTCTTTGGGTTCGTTAGCATGCCTTCCATCGCGCCTTTAATGACGAAGCTGCCGAGGAAAACCACGGTAGTGTATCTATGATACAGTTCAGTCAATACCTCCGGTGGAGGGGTGTAGGGGCTTACAAACATAATGTACATAGCCAATTCGACACGCCGGGCGCCATAAGCCACCTTCGCTTTTTTTATCTGAATTTTGTGTAGTCTCTTCTCAATTTAATGGCCCCGTTCCCATGGATCCAGGTATTTCAATCCCAAAACACCTCTATTTAGTCCTTGGGTTGTAAACACCGGCCGTGCGTAGTGAGATCTGGGCTGTCTAGAAAACTAGCAATGGCGTCTCCTATGGTGACGAGCGCTGTATGGTCTCGAAATTTGAATGCTGTGAAGGTGATACAAACGATCTTGGCCAAGTTCGCTGATATTATAATGATTGTGATGCAAAAGCTAAATTCTAGTTTGCCGACCTCACCGACTCGCCCGATGAGGCAATATTCTAGTTCACCCCCATATGGTTTCCACTTAGCTCTATCACGAGGTAAGTCGAACTCGTTTTCGGCATCGGCTAGTTTAAGTATTCCACTTAGCATCGATCTCAAAATCATTTGTACGGACGACACTACTTACAGCTACTGCTTGCATGACATTGACAACGCCAGATATTTGATGGATATGTGCTCGGTGAGCTGAAAAAGGATATACTGTAGTTATAAGTCTGGCCGGAGTAGTCTTTCTTCTTGTTCTCTAATTCCCTCGCTCTCTGTGTGTCACCGTGTACCCATTCAAAGGCCCCTCCTTTGTGTCGGAAAAGTAGCCATCCTGTAGAATTTCGAACTACTGCAGGTTGGTCTTGAACTAGATAGACATTCCCAACGTCTGAAACGTAGTGACTGTTATATTTGTTGAAACATTCCTCTACGCTGGCATTTTGATACTTCCGTATAATACTTCCGTTCCTTATGGTGATGGTGTCGGTTAAATTTATTCGATAAGATTCTAAACCTGGCAGTCGAGTTCGGTTTCCATCTCCTTCAATGCCGCGGAAGTTTTCGAAATTGTTTTTGCCTCCATTGATACAACCGGCTGTGGTGGTTACGACAAAGTATTCGTTGGCCGGAAGGTTTGTAAAAACAACTAAATTAAAGAACAGATGCAGAAGTACTGGGGAGAGAAACAGGAAGCTATAGATGATAGCTCGGCCACTTCGGATATATCGCAATTTTCGTACGTTCGGGATGGTGATGTGCAGCCATTGACGGTGGGTGTGCGCTCGGTCAATTTCTTCTCGGTTCGGGGCTGCGAGAACCTGCACGAGATAGTTGCTTGCAGACAATAGGAGCGTGCTCACAATCTAGGGGAGTTTTGAGAATTACTCCATCTTATCGCAAAGAGATGACTTACGCTTATGGCTAGATGTACCCATATATTCATATTCCTGACAGTCGTACAACTTCCCTGATATATTGTACTGGCTGAATCGTTGCGTTCGAAATCAGGGTTTGTACTAACCCAGATTACGATTGCAAGATTGAAGACGAATACAGCGGCTGTCCCGAACAACGCAACCACTGCGATAGTGCGCCATCCGGAGTAAAAAACTTTTATGCTGGTTGTCCGATCGCGCCAGGTTCTGCTCACTTCAGATGAACGACAATCACTCTCATGCGAAAACGGTTGGATGGTTTTCGCAAAACTAAGTACCTTTGGAAGTGATGCACTACGCCCACGATCGATGTTATCGTCATCACTTGTTCTTTCACTAAAATCGCCAGGTTCAGAAAAGGCTGTGATTATGAGAAGCGAGGCACTTCACCGTCTCTCATGAGGCTGAAGCAGCTCTGCGCCCTCAGTGTCCCTATCGCCATGTTTCAACGGACGCAATGGCAGGTACATAGCAAATTTGCAATGTAAATTTGTGCTGCACTGGATAATTCAGACGCTGTCGAGATATTTGAGATATTGCAGATATTGGCGGGAGAGGCAATTGCCTAAGTAATCCCCTGATGAACACCCAGGTGACATTTAGTGGCAAACGCCTCTCTGCACGTTGGTCTGGCGCTAATAGCTTGGCGCATGTTGTATGTACCCTAAAGGAGGGCCCTGAGGTAAGTTGGAGATATCTGGAATGTGTTGTGTATGCACAGAACTGTAGATAAGGTGTGGGGACGAGTCGTCATGATTAGTTAAAACAACGACTTCGCCTACGTACTTACTACGCACTGCCCCTACGAGTAGATTAGTTCGCAAACATTGGTTCGGTAGCCTTACTTGGCCTCAAAGGCTATTGTATCTGAATTTCAACGAAGTTTGTAAGAGGCTGCACTCCGTGGAGCGGGCGTTTGGTATACAAGAGGTTGTAATCGATAGAGGTCTATCTACTCTACCTACATGGTGTTTATCTACTTATCGGAGAAAGGTCACGTCAAAGTGTCTGAGCGCGTTGTTTAAACATCCCTGGAATTGTACACATAGTCTGACATCCCATCGATGAGCTATCTGAAGGGCGTTCAGCCCGTTGCATATATAGAAGTGGCGGTGCCTACCGATTATCTTGGCGCCAATACTAGAAAGGCTGGATCTCCAAGAGATCCAAACAATCAATCTTACTTCCCACCTTTCCACAACACGAAGAGCTTAAGTTATATGCTTGGAGTATTAACAGCTAAGCAGTAGACCTAAGAGATCTTGATGACACTCGAATCTAAGATATAATCACGTGATAATCAGGCTACCTATATCACGTGTGCGGGCTCACCAAGCCGAGGATACGGCCACATACGCCATCCATGCGCCAAAAGGTATTGCGCAAGTGCACAAGACAACAAAGCTTCACATTGCCTTGCATAGTCAGTAATTAAACTCATACAATCGCCATTGCGATTAATCACTAAGCGCAGTCTCAGTCACAAGGGCATAGCCCATCTGTACATGGTCGATGTACACATATCAGGTGCAAGATTGGACGACGCCGCTCACGATGGGCTGTTTGCAACCAATACTGAGGTATGAAACCATTGTTGTTTTACAGCCATCAAATAAATCAGCCATGCCTGCCTTGTTTCTTTCAGTGTCATCGCATAGGCCTTCGAGCTTCTTGTCTCGTTGGTCTTGCGCTATTCTTGAAGCATCCATGGACGAAGGGTTATTTCCTGGCAGTCAATCGTTGTAGAGCGGACTACTTTTCGAGATCTTTCTCGAGTGTTGTAGTAAGTTATAAGCAGAACATTGGCTTTACTATCAACTAAATCGATTGTCGGAGGATGCCCGACCACCCTCCGACCGGACAAAACGCGGACCAAATGACAGTACCACATCTACCTAGTGGATACTCGACCTGAGTATGTGGACCCACTGGGAAGGGGGTAGATAGTAAGAGCTATACTGTAAAGAGTATGATCTATATCATACAGAGTGTAGCTTCTGGCGTAGTTATCCAAAGAGGATCCTAACTATCATTTTAGCGTCTCCACAGTGCAAAACATGTGACATTGTAGCACAGTATAACAGTCGTCAGGAGTACTCAGAATGGACAGTAAAACAGAATTTCTACAATGTCGAAACCAAAGGTTCTTATCGTCGGTTGCGGTGCCGTGGGCTTAAGTCAGGGTTATCACCTCTCCACCGGTGCAGACATCACCTACCTTGTAAGGCCCGGTCGCAAACCAGCATTTCTATCCCCGAAACAACTCTACGCATACAACACAGATAAATTACATGCTTTCTCGTCCTATCGTGTTATCGAGTCTGTTGCCGAAGTCAAAGGCGAGACCTTTGCTTTCATTTTCGATACTCTAGACGGACACACCGCACGCTCCGAGAATGGAGTTGCAACGATCCGCTCAGTAGGCGATCTCATCAACGAGCCGCAGAACAAGGAGTGCTTCGTCGTCTTCGATGCTGTTGGCTTAGACATAGACGAACACTACGCCAGCAATCTGCGCGTGCCGAAATCTCGCCTTTTGATGGCGGCAAGCATGCTTGCGCATCAGCCTACGCCCCAGATCTCGATACCTGCTACAGCAAGCAAAGATCTTGTAGCCAAGGCAGATATGCTGTATGCTCCTGTGATGCCTGGTGTAGGCCTTCTGATAGGAAACACACAACCCGCACTCATCAAGAAAGTCTCTGCGATCTACAACGTCAATGGCGCGCTCGTCATTAGCACGATTCCTGCCTTCACCATCGCCCCGTTTCAGCCCATTGCGCTTCTTCATCTGGCCGTCTGGAATATTGACGGCTTCGGACCGTTCTCGCACCTCCGTTCTAACAGCGAACTCTGGAGCTTGCTTCTGCGGGCTCAGACGGAGATTCTACGACTTCCACGCTACGGTTGGACGGGCTGGTTTCTCTCGCTTGTGATGGGAAGCTGGGCGACGGAGAAGGTGATGACGTTACCTGTGGAAAGCTCGAAGCCGCTTGTTTATCATGAGTTTAATGCGTTCCATCATGGTGGTAAAGTCGCGAAGCAGGATCTTATGATCATGGAAGGGACACTGGATGACGGGGAGAAGTCGGGAACGAAGATGGAAGCATTAAGAGAGGTTGTGAGGAGGGTAAGGGCATTGCGGTCATGAAAGCTCGGTGGGCTACATCAGGTGAGTATTTGCCGTCCTTTAGTATCAGCAGTAGGATAGAATTAGTCACTTACACCTCCCTAGATACTGGGATTGCAAATAGATGACGTTGTTCTACTCATATGCTATTCGCATTCTGCACGAGTTCGTTCTGAATCTCTTGCTGGACATCCGCCAATGCCGACCATCAAACCAAGTCTGGAGTTAGGAAATCTGCGCAGCATGTCTGTCTTGACACTTGCTGTTCTCGCTATGCCATACTCGCCGTCTGGTAAGACAACAAAGATAACATTGTGTTCCCCAATCCTGCCTAGTGTGTAGCTGGTGCAGTCTCCCGGGGACACATATTCTGGCTCTTCGTGCTCTTCGTCGAGAAAGTCTTATGCAGCAACAAGCTCTGTATGGATTTCGCGAGGGGAAACCGAAACTGATATAGAGAAAGGGGTAGGCAATCAAAGTTGGTGAGGAGGGGAAAAAAGGCATGGACGGGGTGGTTGGTTGTTCTCACGCCGACCTCGGTTTGTTAGCACCAGCTGCGATGCAAATGCAGCTCAGCCGTAGCCACAACCGCCACGCTGAATACACATTTCACAGCTTTTATGAGACCTATTAGCAGTTAGATGAAAATTGGTTGCCTATATAAAAGCTCACTTATCGTGATAAAGCGAAGCCCCTCAACCCGCAACCTGCGCCATGGCCACCTCACGTCCTCGAAGAGCGCTGTGCTGGGTATGAAGCAATGGCATGGCGGGTCTGGCCGCTCAGGTAGCGCTGGCAAGAGTTGTTTCTATTGCTGAGTCTCGTTGCGCGCTATACAATTGGCAGCTGATGGGCTGAGGGGTTGCAGAAGCGCGGACTGTAGCACGTGGGGGCTGCACAAGCGAGTCTGCCATGCATGCGCTGAGCTACTTAGCGCGGTTGCTAGTTTTACAAATGTATACTTATCGGCTGGCCCAACTTTGATAGCTTTCAAATTACTTCAATCGCTTATTCTTAACTGCGGCCTTTGTCCCGTGATCTTAACTGCATATTTACGAGATTGCGAATCCATAAACGCCTGATTGATCCTCTAGGCTCAATACCCATTATGTCTAATATCCACTCCGTCGCAACCATACTAAAATTCAACCGTAAATAATCCCACACGGATCTATTGCACAAACATTTTTATTATAAATTCTCTGACTATCTTTCGGCAGCTTCAACGGAAACCTGGGAATGCCGCCGCCTGGACCTGCTAGGTCAGAACGTAACCCTACCAGAAGTGTGCTTCATGTGAGATATGAGAATACAAAATAGCTCGTATATATAATGGACTTGTAAAACTAACAACTGTGTGTTTGCAGCTTCCTAAAGTCGAGCGACTGGTGGGAGAAAAACTGTCCGGAGGCCGACCGCAAGAAGATACTAGCACATTTTCACGCGCCAGATATTCTTAGCAGCGAGACTTGCGCCAAGCTCAATGGCTACTGCGGTTCTTCAAGCTCTTTTTCGGGAGATGGAGATGGGAGCAATCTTGACAGTCTCAGTGCGTTTCTCTACTTGTTCTTTACATGATTGACAGATCAACTCGCTAACTACGCTAACATTGCAGGCGTGTGGTTCAAAATCCTCACCAAGAGAGTTCTGGAGAAGGAAGAAATGCAAGAATCAGAAAATGGAAAGGACTACAAGTGGTATGAGATGAGCTTTTTCACGCGGTGGAACAGCGCAAAAACCAGCAGGGTCTTATGCATCGGCGCATCACTACAAATGAGCGCTACGCTTGAGACCATGGTCAAGGAATCTCCGCCGCCGACTTTCGAGTCGCAAGACCCCCTTGCGATGCTTAAACCTCTGTTCGACGAGATCATCAAATTATGTGACGAAAACACATGGGCGGTGACAAAGAAGGTTCGGGCCGTTGAACTTGTATGCTACTTTTCCCCAGTACTACACCGAACATTCAAGTTCATAACACTAACACCTGTTTCCCCACCAGAACAGGAAAAAAAGATGCGAGTTCGATACACTGCGCAATTTAGCACGGCACACAGGACACATAATAGAAGTCGAACAGGTAGCCATCGAGACGATGGAGCAGCTTCTCTCTCTGCAGGAGAGCAACTTCAAGTGCCTTAACAAGCTCACAAAGACATACACGGTGCAAGCGATGGAATACCTAGCGTTTCAGTTGCAGGCGATGAAGAGCCTGAGATGGCGTGCGCAGTCCACGCATGACCGGCTAGAAGAGGAGATCAATCTGGTAAAGCTAGACAATCTCTTTAAGCAAGCTCTGTGTGTATCCTATCCTGTATCCAGAGCTGACCCAGTTTCGGTAGGCCTACAATATGCTTGCGAGTTCGGATAACGCAGTCATGAAATCGATTACCCTTCTCACAATGATATTCTTACCAGCGACTTTCATATCAGTAAGCATTGCTGAGAGATGTGCACTAGTCAACCAAGGTACTTACTCATGCTTCAGGCACTCTTCAGCACCACTTTCTTCTCATTTGAAGAGAACGGGTGGCAGTTTTCGCCCATGTTCTGGATCTACTGGGTCGTTGTGATTCCTTTGACTATCACTGTAGTTCTGGGCTGGTGGTGGTGGATTGGCGGATCATATGAGGTTGTCCGGGACCGGTGGCTGCACGCTAGGGATCCTAAAGGTCCTCTGTAGTGATAGTCTATCAGTGGCAACGATCTCTTTAACTAGATATCAGAGAAAATCGCGTGATTCCGGTCGCGCTGGCCCACTATCAATATTCTGCGAATCCTCTCTGTCTCTCTTCCCCAAGTAACGGGACAAGCTAGAAATATCAGTGAAAGAAAGATTCACGTTAGTCCGAAATAGTGCGATACGGACGACACTGTGACCCAACGTATAAGCAAGCTCATGAACATCAAGACTAGTTGCAAAAATAACTATAGTTAACTTCAGCAAATTATATAATCCTAGTTCTATACCTATCAGTCTGCAATTCTCGTTTCATCATTTCAGCCATATGATCTTGATTTTAATTTCTAGGTTTTTTAGTTGCATGTTTTAAAAGGACGCATAAAAATGAAAGATAAAGAGGTTTTATGTTAATTCTGAAAAGAGTAACCTTTTTCCGGGTAAAAAAAAAGACAAGACTGTATAAATGGCGATGTGATAGACATAGTAGGTGAGTCTGTCACCCCACTTCACCTTTTGCATACATTGCCGTGCACCCGGGCTTTATGAGAAAAGAGATGATCCAGAACGTGGGCTTTTGATAAAATTCTGCAATGTAGGAGGAGCAGTCACGCCTGATGTTGCTGCAAAAAAAGTCGCTTGTAGAAATGGATTTGGGCAAGCGGAACACAAACAACGCAGGGCAGTAACGGGCTCCCTCGGGGAGCTTGGGTAAGTGGACCGCCACGTAAACCTCCTCAAATCAAGTCAAGTATGGTGTTAGCGACATTGGTACTGCTGATGAGCTTGTACTGAAGCCAAAAAAGATAAACTACCCGCGCGCCTCTTTAGCTGCCCATGGTTGCGCGCAACGAAACCTCAATGACCCCTTGGCCACAAAGAGGTAAACGATGCATTAATTCATTGCAGGAAATGCTTATAGGTCTTCTGAGTTATTTGAAATTGAAATATGGATGAATAACTACGTCATTTTTCTTCAACTACCTAATCGACAATTCCTTGGATACCAAAAGCACCGCTAAACCCCTTTCTAGTGACCTCATTTGCTTACCACCATTGAATCAGATACCATGGTGACATCTTCTGCTGAGCTTGTACTGTGTTGGTCGTCTGGTACTTCAGGCGACCACCTGTGTGCATCACCCAACCGATCTGCTGTGAGACCAGCCGAACTTGGGTTACGCATGCCGGCTTCGAGTTGTTTTTGATAGCTTACTTGTCTCAACCTTTGGGCCTCTCTCGGCGTAAGGTGCAGATAAATCTCAACACCGATAGCATGCAGCACAAGAGAAAGCCACAGCGCCATACCAAATCCTGCATTCAATGCTGCGCCTGTATTCGCTGCGTCTCCTGCCCCAAAGGTCGCTGCCACGGCTGATACTGCATCGGGATCCGTACCATCGACATAAGCAGCACATGCTGGATAGGAAGTCGCAAGGTCAACATCAGGGGCGATAGTTACGGCGATCTTTGCGCAAGTCCAGACAATGTAGTATCCTTGATTTGCGGTTATCTGAGCCGAGATAATGAGAATAATACGGTTAGTGACAATGGCACCCGCATAGAACCATCCCCTGAGCATCCAAGCCCGATGCTGTTCGATTTGCAAACGCTTTACGTTTATATAACTGATGATGAAGCAGGCTAGCGTACTTAAGCCTAGAACGCCGAGAACGCTCTGCACTTCTAGGCCGCCGCCGAACGCGTGTCGCATTATCATAAACGCTCCTGCAAGGCTGACCAGGTACAGGAGAAGTGCAGCATATCCGCCAATGCGATGTACGATTATCCAGCGGTGACGAATAAACGGTGTAAACTGTGTAACAGAGATCAAACTAGCGGGCAGAACACCCCCTAGATGAAGCAAGATGCCGACTTTGTATTGTGTGAAGTTGAGATAGTAGTAGCATTCTCCTGGGGCTGCGCTGTTTCCGCTCTCACTTGGTCCATCGGCAGGGCAGAAGTTGTGCGAAAAGTTGAGGTAGGGAAAGCGTGCTAGGACGACTGATGGCAAGGAATTAGTTTGGAAGAGGTGGTTCGAATACGGAAAACCTTACAGCCAGTAAGTGCTCCACCGAAGACTATGTACAACCAAAAGTTGTAGACTTTGGTAAAGCCAAGTGGGTTCACGACTTTTCGGGCGAAAGCGCTAGTTGAAGGGGGCTGGGCGACCATGATGCTCTTGATGGGTAATGAAATCGGTATATTTTATATGTTCTTGTAGGTTGAAGAGGTGTTCAGTAGTGAATATCGTATGCTGTAGCATGATCTTTTCCTTCCCAAAGCTGGCACATCTTATACAACTCTCGACTATTTTATCCTATACCTTGTTGAGATGATTTTGCGCTCGCAGCCAAAACTTTTGATTGTAACATTGAGGGTTGCCAACACAGCCTTGGAGCGGTGGACCAGTAGACCACGGAAGTGCGATTCATGTGATAGCACTGAAACTCGATCACAGAGCCAAACTCGATCATGGCACTCAAAAGAAGCAGTGCAATGCAATGCTGCCAAGTAGGGAGATGGTTGAACTGCGCTCTTAGCGATGTGCTTGACGGGTCCATATTGGACGCGCTCAATCCACCAAATGAGGAAAAGCGCAGGTGGTTGCAATTGGTCAACGACGATGATACAACTGGTCGCCTAATTACCAATCCAACTCAACCAATCCTCAGCCATCCCTAAATACCCGCGGAGTCGTCATAGACATTTGCGCACCAATAATCGAGCAAGACACGGCTAAGCCTTGAGCTGAACGCTGGGTCAGTTGCAGCAACAGTCAAGGTCTCTATCCAGCAAAAAGTGTGTCAGCTGGCGCAAAAGAAGCGCTACACTATAAAGTTCTTAGTAGATGCTAGTCGTCGCGAGATAATAAGGGTATGTTAGAGAAGAGTTAATGGACGGCACTAACAGAACGAGGGATAGTGTAGTCAACCACGCGCTCTTTGGTATTAGAGGCTGGCGTGCTAGGAGAATAAGGGCTATAGAATAAATGCGTGTTAAATTTGTCTTAATGCAAGTGTACTAACTAGGGACATTCCGAGCTTCTAGAATAATAAGTAATTAACCCGTTATACTGTGCATTCCGGCACATAGGGACGGACGTTTATATAGTGCGATATGGTACGATATGATGTAAGCAGCGCTGCAAACACATACGTAGATACTCACCAGATGTTAACACATATACTAAGTTAACGCGGCGTAGAGCGCAGACCTATGTAGGAAGATAGGGGAAGCTTTAGGAATATGTATTATTTTGTGTTAGATGTATTGTTACCTCTATTAAACATTTGCGACGGCGAAGGTTTTAGCAACGATGCAGACTACACAACTATTCTTCCTTAATCGGAAGTAAATAAATCTCTTTTTACCTAATTGAGCTTCAACGGCCTATAAATTTCTTCTCGAGAAATCTGAGAGGAACAAAAGTGACCAGAGTGATGACAAGTGTCATCTCATTACCGACATCACCGCCGGTGGCGCCAATCAATTTGGCGACAGGTCCAACAAACCATGTCTGATCCATGCCCATGAACCAGCCAAGGACCCCCAAACCAAACGAAGTACCAGCCGCAAGGCCCAACGGCAATCTGCTTGGTTCATTCCACCCATCGAGGTCGTAATTGTCAAAGTTGCCGCCGCGGAAGAGGAAGTGCTCGGAGAAGAGGATAATGAAGTATGAAGTGCACCAGTATCCGAGAATACCCAAGAAGTTCTGCAGATAGGCATTAAGCTTTTCGCGTCCGCCCAGAGCAAGACCGAGGATGCAGGCAAAGACAAGGAAGGTCCAAATGAATCGAGGAATTTTTGAAAATGGGCGAGCAAGTTGCTGGCAAGAAATAGCAGCGCTATAGATGCTAATCACGTTGGTGTTGATTCCCGAGAGCACAAGCAAGGCAAGGAGGAATTTGGCGAATCCTCGTGGGTAGAGGAAATCCTGAATCAAGAAGCCAATGCCATCATTTTCGTAGGTCGTCTTCCATTCTGGCTTATTGTTGAGCGCAGATGCCACGACAGCGCCAGCGACCATGCCAATGCTAGTCGGAATCGCGATGCCGAAGGTTGTCATGAGAAAGACTTTGGCTCGTGAGATGCTAGCAGGATAGTGTACGTAGTAGTCGGAGGCCATGGTGCACCACGAGCAAGAGCTGCCGTAGACGATGGCGATAAGGGTCAAGACAGCGCCAGATTGGTTGATCCCAGACACAATTGCAGGACTTGTGTTGTCGGCATATTTGCCTGCCTCGCCAAAAAAGATGATGAAGATGATGAAGAAGACGATCCAAGCATATCGTTCGTAGACCAGGATCGCACTGAGACCGACAAAGGAGATTAAGAGAGCGACTACTGCCAAAATGACGATGCCCACGACAAGAGAGAGGTGACCATCTGCAACAGCCTCCAGGGCTAGACCTGCGGTAATGCAAGCGACTGCAGACCAGCCGATCTGGACGATAGCATTGAGGAAAGCGACGATCTTGTTTGGCCACCAACCGAAGCTATATCGGGAAGCGGAAATCTGTCGAAGACCAGTGACGGCGCCAAAGGTGGCTGAAAATCCAGTGAGAGCACCTCCTAGGAGCGAAGCAAAGACAATGATGACGATGGACTGTTTGAGGGACAATCCGAATTCCCAGCCGAGGAAGCCAGTCGCGAAACAGGACGTGTTCATCGTGCCGGAGGCCCAGAGACAAAACATGGTGAGCTGTTCATGAAAGCGGACTGGTTTCTTCTCTTCTGGCAGCTTCCTCTTGATGGCTTCCGACTCGATACCAAGCTTGGCGTCCAGGTTTGATTCGATGCTTCGAAGACGAGAGAGAATGCTGCCATCTTGCTTGACGTAGGCATTGTTGTACAGCTCGACATTGGGCGCGCTGGTGCGATCGAGGTTCTTTTCGTCAATATGAGCTGCCTGGGCGTACGCACCGGCTTCCTCGTCAGATGACAACGACATCTTGGGCAGATCAGCTAGGGTCTTGATGGAGAGACGAGTCGCAACTGCAAATGGGTGAAGGTCGAGTTCATATTTCACGTGGGACAGCCGCGTGGCACAGGAAGCGGGGATTCCATGTGGCGACACTTGACAAGTCTGGCCCTCGTACCAGTCCGAATTTGTGCCTCTCCTCCGTGAGGGAACACGGGCGAAGATATGGAGCTGGGGATGATTGGTGGGACAGCAAAGCTAAGCAAATTCTTATCTGCACAAGATCTCTTGGCAAGAAAGCTTGGTAAGTAGGGCGCAAGTGCCTTTCAACTTGCTCGTATGAGCGAAATCCTTTCCAGGTATTCGGCATTTCCACGGCCTCGACACCGGTTGGTCCGAAGTATCACCGAGCTCTGCCGGGCGCAATCTGGGGGCATTGTTCGCAGTTCTCCGTCGCCTCACCATTCGCGCGCCTTTGAATGACAATCTGATGTCTTATTCCCGCTATTCGTGCAAGCGATATGCAGAAATGAACCTCAGGAAATATTTCTAGCATAATGGCTTGACGATACGACGAAGATCAGCCGACGACGTCTGTGCAAACGTGCCGCTTGCTTCATCTTCGTTTTCCAGTGATGATGCTGTCTTCAATCGCCATTCCACTCAGCAGGAGCAAAGGGATATCGTTTGTCTGCCAATCGTATAGACGAATGAAGCCTGAGCCCTAATCATGGTGACTGTGCCCGAGCCCACGACGATCACAGGCTTTATTTCCAGCACGTCCTCACGTAGACATTTCGATGCTGGGTCGTGGCTACACCCTCTTCAGAGAACAAAGACCGCGGCTGGCATACCACTATCGCCATACATACCTTTCTGGTAGGCACTGGTAAGTTATAGGGATTTGTTTGGGCCTGATAGGCTCATGTTGTTATTTCTTTCTCCCTCTGTCCTTGTTCCTGTACCTTGGTGCTTCTTCCTTGCTCTTTGCCCTTTTTCTTTGTTCTTCGTTTCTTCTTACTCATTGTTCTTCTTCTTTGTTTTTTTATTCTTTGCTATTCACTGGTTGATCGGCAAGCTGAGAGCTTTACACGCCGTTTTTCCCATCCAAAAGTAAACCTAATGTTATCAAACACACCCACAAAGGTATGTAAGATAGCTTTGTGGAACGGCACAGCAACGAAAATGTGCTCAAGGGTATCTGGCACAACTATGGCAAGTAAAGTATGTCCGAGTTCGAAACTTGACTTGCAGCCGGAGCTTTCAATACCGCAGCAGCCCATATATGTACTGTACCAGGAGCGTGAGAGTAATGCACCTGTTCATACTACACTTTGACTCTACTACACGCACGTACATTTGTTCTCTGGGTCACCAGTTTTGCTGTCATAAATCTAACCAGACCAGTAGATAACCCCTTCCCTAATATATAGCATCGAGAGCTTAGGCCAATTCGCCAAAGATGTCAAGGCCTCTTATCATGCGCAGGATTGTAGTAGTTGGGACAAAAGGTAACTAAGTACAGTAACTAATCAGATCGCGACTGCGAAACGCCTTGGTGTCTTTCGGGACAGTGCACTAACGACTGCAACCTTTTTTTCAGCAGACTTCTGGTATACTCTCTGTTCTCCAAGCGCTCGCGATTCGGTTGCTGCAATTGCTATATCAATAGCTGACATGATGTTGCAGTTTGTAGCGCGTTGAATTTGGCACATAGTTTCGTGTTCGGATGTTCAAAGTGCAGCATTGGACGGATGGTCACAGACCTCCTCTCTCATGAGTTGGCGCGGGGGCGCAGGTATCAGTATTAGTGGATCTACCAAAGGTGCAGGGTGCCACATTGTTTAGTCTGGTCGTCGCAAACTTCAAGCGATAGTAGTACCCTTGGATTAGGTTAGCAATCAACATTGTTATGACAAGGATTTAGAGATCTATAAGTAGCTCACCAAATTCTATGGTGGGGGCCTTTGAGAAGGTACAAGGCAGCAAATGAGGCCGCTATGCGATGTAATTCTCATAGAAGAAGGCGTCTTCAGGCAGAGGGGACCTTGATGGTTGAAAGATCGGGCTCACCACAGTTGACTAGAGCAGCTCTGGATTTTAGAAGTAATGTATAACAACGCTGACTATGCTATTTCCTCCCAATCCCCAGAAGGCGACGTCGTTACCACACCTTCATTGAGCATGCTTTGTGCTATCGCTCGCACCACCTTGAACGATGACGTTTACAGGGAAGACGAAACAACAATAAATTTTGAGCAAGAAGTGGCTAATCTCTGCAACCACGAAGCCGCCGCATTTGTTGTCTCTGGCACGATGGCGAACCAGCTAGCTCTGCGAACACTGCTCTGGCAACCTCTACATGCTCTCCTTGCCGATGCAAGTGCGCATATAGTTCACTGGGAATCTGGCGGAATTTCCCGCTTCTGGGGAGCCATGCTGCAAACTATGCGTCCAAGCAACAATCTTTATTTGACTCTAGAAGATATCCAAAAGAGTGCCGTCCTGTCGTATGACGTACACAAGTGCCCGACAAGAGTTGTGAGCATTGAAAATACTTCAAACGGAACCGTGGTGCCACTAGAAGAATTACGTAGAGTTGAAGATTGGGCTACAAGAGCTGGGTTACAGGTTCATATCGATGGTGCAAGGCTTTGGGAAGCCGTTGCAGCTGGGGTGGTACACTTTCAGAATACGCTCAGTGTGCTGATTTAGTGACTGTCAACTTCAGCAAGGGTATTGGTGCACCAATGGGGGCGATGGTCATCGGTTCAGCAGAGTCGATCCAGCGGTTGGGTCGGATTCGCAAAAGTATAGGCGATGGTATGCGTCAGTCTGGGGTTCTAGTTGCAGCTGCAAGACAAGGGCTTCTTGAGAATTTTGGGACGAGCCAGACTGATATGAGAGGAATTTTGAAGAAAAGTCATTCGTTAGCAGGTACCATTGGGACGCTATGGATTGAAAAAGGGGGAAAGCTAGTCAGACCCGTGGAAAAAAATATTGTATGGCTAAATCTGAGGGCCTAGGGCGTTACTGATAGTGAATGGACCCAAGCTGGGCATAGGCATGGGATCAAGTTGATAGGTAACCGAGTCGTCACGCATTACTCGGGCCCAACGGCTGCTGTAGCAGAATTTCAATGAAATTGCCCGTGCTCCGCACGGGCCTATCACCTCAACGATAATGATCACTGTAACGATGTTACAACTTCGCCAGGTATCGGACCAATCCCAGAGCCGGATCGGAGGTAGTACTCGCCGCCCTCTTCATCAACCACTCGTTGTGAGGTCGGATCTGATTCGGATCCGACTAAGATAAGTATATAAGGAGACACTCCCTGTAGCTAGCTCTATAGACTTTTAATATCCTTTCGTACAAGGCCTATAGGTGTCTATTCGAATTAAGGCTCGTTTGATGTCCTACGCACTTCTATATGCCTCTGAGTGATACTACCGCCAATACTGATCTGAGTAGTCTTGCCTGCGCCGTTACATTATATTAAAAGTCTCGTCTTAGCTGGTAACGGCTTTAAAATAATATCGCAGCTATTTGTTAAAGACTATGTTAATTCTCTAAGATTTAGAGTGTTATGGGCGAAGAGGCCTTCGAACGAGTTTGCATTAACCTATAGTACAGAAGAAGAAAGATAAGAAGAGTTAAGCTGTCGTACGACACCTCTCTCTTTATACCTTGCTTCTCTACTCTTCGTACGAGTAAGTTCTAACTAAGCGGTGTGATATAGGCACGTGATGTAGGCACGTGATACAATCACGTGCTTTCACTCCACGGGCGCAGCCCATTACAATACCCCCCTCTATACCGTATGCGGCTGCTTGGCGGTCCGCGTGGTTTGCTCG